ATCTCCCATAAGCACAGTATCATCAGCAAAAAGTAACTGTGTCAATTCCCATTTTGAATTTTATTCCCCAAAATATAATCCCACCCCCCCTCTCCCCGAACACCCTAGCATTTACTTCTTTACAACCCCATCTATAAATATATTAAACAACCATGGTGACATTACACATCCTGTCTAAAACCTACTTTTAACCTGGAAGTAGTCTCCCTCTCTTCTACACACCCTAACCTGAGCCTCACTATCCTCATAAAAACTCTTTACAGCATTTAATAACTTACCACCTATTCCATATACTTGCAACATCGCCACATTGCTCCTCTATCCACTCTATCATATGCCTTTTCTAAATCCATAAATGCAATAAAAACTTCCCTACCTTTATCTAAATACTGTTCACAAATATGCTTCAATGTAAACACTTGATCTACACATCCCCTACCCACTCTGAAACCTCCTTGCTCATCTGCAATCCTACATTCTGTCTACCTCTAATTCTTTCAATTATAACCCTACCGTACACTTTTCCTGGTATACTCAGTAAACTTATTCCTCTATAATTTTTACAGTCTCTTTTGTCCCCTTTCCCTTTATATAAAGGGACTATACATGCTCTCCGTCAATCCCTAGGTACCTTCCCCCTCTTTCATACATTTATTAAACAAAAGTACCAACCACTCCAACACTATATTTCCCCCGCTTTTAACATTCCTGTCCTGATCCCATCATTCCAGCTGCTTTACCCCCTTTCATTCTACGTAATGCCTCACGTACCTCCCCCACACTTACATTCTGCTCTTCTCACTCCTAAAAGATGGTATACCTCCCTGACCATGCATGAATTACCGACTCTCTTTCTTCCTCAACATTTAAAAGTTCCTCAAAATATTCTCGCCATCTACCTAATACCTCCATCTCCACATCTACTAACTCCCCTACTCTCTGTTTTTAACTGACAAATCCATATTTTCCCTAGGCTTTCTTAACTTGTTTAACTCACTCACATAAATTTTTCTTATTTTCATTAAAATTTCTTGACAGTGCCTCTCCCACTCTAACATCTGCTCTTCTCTTTTGCACTCTCTCACCACTCTCTTTACCTTTCTTTTACTCTCCATATACTCTGCTCTTCTTATAACACTTCTGCCTTGTAAAAACCTCTCATAAGCTAACCTTTTCTCTTTTATCACACCCTTTACTTCATCATTCCACCAATCACTTCCTCTTTCTCTCCTGCCCCCACCCTCCTATAACCACAAACTTCTGCCCCACATTCTAATACTGCATTTTTTAAAACTATTCCAACCCTCTTCAAAACCCCCCCACTACTCATCTTTGCACTAGCCACCTTTCTCCCAATAGTCGCTTATATCTCCCCCGAACTTCCCCTCCCTTAGTTTATACACTTTCACCTCCCTCTTGTTGTTGCCACCTTCCTCTTTTCCCATCTACCTCTTACTCTAACTGTAGCTACAACTAAATTATGATCCGATATATCAGTTGTTTATGTATTTTTATAGATGGGGTTGTAAGAGAAGTAAATGCGAGGGTCTTGGCAAGAGGCGTGGAGTTAAAAGATAAAGAATCACACATAAAGTGGGAGTTGTCACAGTTGCTCTTTGCTGATGACACTGTGCTCTTGGGAGATTCTGAAGAGAAGTTGCAGAGATTGGTGGATAAATTTTGGGAGGGTGTGCAAAAGAAGAAAATTGAAAGTGAATACAGGAAAGAGTAAGGTTATGAGGATAACAAAAAGAATTTGGTGATGAAAGATTGGATTTTCAGATTGGAGGGAGAGAGTATTGGGGGAGGTGAATGTATTCAGATATTTGGGGGTGGACGTGTCAGCGGGTGGGTCTATGAAAAATGAGGGGAATCATAAAGGGATGAGGGAAAAAAGGGTGAGGGGGTGCACCAAAGAGTCTTTTGGAAAACAAAAAAACTTTTCCTTTGGGGGCAAAGGGGGGAATGTATGAGAGTAAGTTTAAAACCAACGCTTTTATTTTGGGTTTTGAACCCAGGGGTATAAATTTTTTGAAAGCGGGGGAAAAGGGGCCTGGGCAGGGGAGATGTCATTTTCTGAAGAAAAGTGTGGGGTGAATATAATCAGAAATTTTCGAGCTTGGAAGTTGGAGGAGTGGGGGATTCCCAAAAAACTGTTGCCCCAAGGGCTGAGGAAGGGTTTTTTTGAGGGGGTTTGGGAAAAAATGGAATAATGGAGCAAAACAGAAAAAACTTCAAGAGTGAATCAGCCCTGTAGGGGAAGGAAGGGGGGGGAAAGGGGTGGGCCTGGGAAAAGGGTTTTGGAGGGAGGGGAAAAAGGGGGTTTTTGGTGTGCAGGGTTTTGGACTTCCGCAGGCATGCGTGACGGGGTTTTATAGGATTAAAATGGAGCCCAAATTTGGTTTTTAATACTTGACGTGCGTTGGAGGTGACCCAAATTTAACATTTATGGGGGGTTTTCAGGCCCCCGGGCCCGGCCCGGGACTTGAGCCCTGGAAGG